TAAATTTTGTTATGTTTTCTGTGTATTAGTAACAGATTGTTAGAGGTTACATATTCAACCGTTTTGACCCGAGTTGTGAATTTTTGACCCGGCTGAACCGTTTTGACACGGGTGACCCGGTTTACTATAACCCGGTTCTAACTCCACTACAATCACTAATGACGCCTACTTCCTTCTCCCCTGATAAATAAAATTTAGCTCATATAGTTATTATATAAACGAAAACAAATATACATATACATACTTCTGACTTGTTTGCACGATAAGATTCATTTTCAACAAATTCATACGAAGTAACATTGCATTAGTACTTTGTTCAAAATCATCACCCATCTTCAATGACTTGTGAAATATTCCACTACGATGATCTTGTTGTTTGGCACATAGAATCTTTACAATAAATGAAAAAATTATTACTTGCACCACGCGATTACCTATAAAATTTAAATCAGTATAAATAAAAACCTTTTTATGACTATCAATTCGTGCTTGAATGTGGTTTTCCGTAATCAACTTGGCAAGTTCTCTTTCTAGCTTTGGAACTGTGGTTCCAAAAGACTGTGCCATTTTATTCATATCTACAGTAAGGAAAGGACTGAAATATTGTACCAGTGCCTTTTTACGAATGTTTTCATAAAGGCTTTCTACATGGTTGTGCAAGTGAAGGTCAAGTAGGTAATCATTCTATCCGTCATAATAAAATAATAGAATAATGACTTATTAAATATTTTGATAAATTTTATCTATAAATAAAGCAAAAAGGAATATTACCTTCCATCTGTCTAAAATATCCAGCACAATTGAATACTTTGAGTTATAAAATCCATAAATGAGTTCCCGTATGTGAGGCTCAAGTTCAAGAAATTGTTTAAATTCCGTATTATCGATCACTTGTTTTTTAAGCTGTTTACGGTCAAAAGAAGCAAGTGCGCATAAACCACCATACACAGCTATATCGTTTGGAGAGATGACCTAGATGTCAAATAATAATTTACATTAAAAGAAATTGTCTATATATAAAGGTCACACCTCTTATTGAATAATTTACCTCAGAATAATTGTTTTGAGAATGAGAAATCTCAAAACTGGTCTCCAAGAACAAATTCGCAGCTTGCTTATATTTGTTACTGTCAAGATGCGCCAACGCAGCAGCAACTTTAAGCTTTGCTTGCACTACGGGCTGAATATCTGGTGTAGACTCAGCTTTGATAACATAACTGTGTACGTGAGAAAAATTACCCAATTCAATGGATACCTGTAATAAACAAATTCATAAAAAAATAATAACAAATAATTGTAACTTAATGAAAGTATGAAATAATACTTTGATCACGTTCAAGCACATTTCTATAACGTGCTTTGACGTAGTGCAATAATCCCTTGTTCTTGAATAACACTTTAATGCATTAGTAGGATTTCCACAGTGATAATAATGATCTCCAAGATCATTATGACCCATCTATAAGATACATTAAAAAATTAATTTTCAGTTTTACTTAGTATTGAAATATAAATAAATAACCTTGATATACTTACTCTTATGCTTTCTTTTATTAAATTATTTTTAAAATTTTTCAATTCAACTTCTAACCTTTCCAAAGTAGTCTTTGCACGTTTTTGAGTCGTTTCAACCCACGCGTTATCCACAGGATAAGATGGATAACCTTGAGAAGCTAAAACTTCATTAAGTTTATTGGCAGTGTTGAGATATTTATTATGATCTAAAGAGTTATCGCGTAGTTCTTGCAAAGCAAGCTTGTACGCATCAATCTGTAGAGGAGGACATCGCTTTGCTATAAAAAGTAAACGATCAACTTTGGTATGTCCTATAATAAATATAAGCGTGCTTAGTTTTAAAAAGGTTAAGATCGGTAAAAAAGACAGTAGTTATAACCTTTATAGTTCGCAATATAAGTGTCCAAATCCAAGTTATTAGGTGAATCGACTACAATATCAAGCGTACGCTTTCTTTTTGCATTTGCGTTGCTGTCTTCCATTTTGAATAAAGCTAGGATTGATGATTTAATATCAACGTGATGATATACCATTAATTAGCCAATAAGAATCCAAAAAAATTTGACGGATCTATCCAGGGACTAAAATTTCCTTCACACTGTACATGGGTAATATACAAATTGTACTTCAAAAAAAGCAGTACCTTTATACCTTGAGTGGATACAAAACTTCGAAGATTGATAGAATAAAATAAAAAAATACCGGATATCTATATATCAAAGTATTCAATTCTGCTGGATATTTTAGACAGATGGAAGGTAATATTCCTTTTTGCTTTATTTATAGATAAAATTTATCAAAA